AGGAGTACTCTGGAGAAAAGCGGCACACGAAAAGGCAGCAGTAACTATAAAAATAGAGAGATAGGGTTGCAGTAGGCAGCGAATAGTGTCTTGGATGTAGTCCTATCTGGCGAAAATCCCTGGCTGGAAGTTAAATGAAAGTACTGGGATAAGGATTGTGTGGATGATAATCAGGTAGAACAAGCAAAGACTTCTAGACTACAAATCTGATCAGTCTTTGTGTGACAGTAGAAATAAGATCGTGATCGGTAGGGATCCTATTTTTACTTCAGTTTACGTGGCAAGTCGACGAATTCTTTGATAGACGGCTGAATGCCGATGATGGTTTGTCTATTCGGTACTGCTACTTGAAGTGTTGCCTGCAAATTGGCCTACGTGAACAAACGATGTCCAAGGAAGCAGCGCAAGCTGTGGTTGGAGGTGCGCTTTAAGGAACTCTGCAATCGGAAAAAATCAGGGAAGTTCGTCAGTGATGAAAACGGATGTAAAATAGAATTTGGAAGAAACAGTTTTTTCACAGGCAAAATAGTGACAAAAAGGCAAAAGATGCTTTAAGGCGGTAACAACAGAGGGGGAAGATTCACAGAGGACAAAGCTGAACTTAGAATTTAAAAATCGTTCTAGTAGATTAAGTTAATAAGAGTAAATTATACTTTGTAATCTACTATTCTTTTTCTATAGATTTACATTCATCATTGTAGATCGAGTGAGGTCAACGACGCCTTTTCAATGAGCAGCGCCACTTGAGGTGGCACAATCAATGACAGATAAATTTTCTGCATTAATAATTGACCCAATTCGAAACTAGTTCATCTTTGGTAAGGACTTGGCCAGCCAAATAGTTCTTGTTATATATTTTAAGACCTTAAGCCTTTGCAGACACCTGATATAAGGACAATTAGGTGTCAAATTAATAAATACTTTGAATTAGTATATGAAGCAACTGTTCAAGGTTACCCTATCATGATTTATGTGACAGATCTCGACTCTTAGATGGGATTAGTCGAAATTGCAATTGTAATTTCATAAAAATGCTTGAATTTGGGCTTAATGCCGTCGGTCCGGCATGCCATGTTTCCTGCCATCAGCGGGCCAAAGGCTTTCAGGTTAACACTAACAAAAACGGATCAGATATGGAATGTACATAGTTGTCAAAGTGGCCTGCTCTATGGGACACAGATAGTTGACAAATGTCTGTTCTGTCAAGGAGGGTTTGGCTTGCACCCCAAAACGACACTCACTTACTTTCATCGTACGAGAAGTCACGTCACACCTCGTCAAACAGAAAGCTCTATTCTTTGATTTAACAGAGGGCATCTTGACTACGCCTTCGCCTGCCCTCGCTAGCATGCATTCTGTTAGGCTGAAGTTGACACTAATGCTAAGTATTGAACAGCCGTGTTGAGAATTCAAACAGAAGTTCTACGCGCAGAAACACTAACGCTATTATCTCCGAATGTCAGATTTCATTATTTCTGCGTACGAAAGCTTGTCCTCTGATTCGACTGAGAATCATTGGCGCCTGTTTAACGAGGTCTAACTAGTAAAGTCCAAACTGATTGATTCAGCGTCCAGATCAGGCGAGTCGAGAAGAGCTGTCGAAATAGCAGTAACAAGCATAAGTGAACCTTATAGAAATCTTTGGGAATGTTTTATTTATAGTTAAGTGAATAGACTGGCTGGAATGAGATCGCAAAATGTTTCGTCGTGTCTCTGGTTTAAACAAAATAGGTTAAAAAAAAGTTTTTGTATCGTATAAGTTTACTGTAGTGTATATTTACCTCTTTAACAAAATTACGTACGGAGCTTTTGGGTTAAGCAGCGTACAAGCTTTTGGGTCTAGAGTTTATCCCAGTGTGTCCTCGAATCAACAAAACAGCGTACGCGAACATATCCTTACCCAGCAGACGCGATCCCGATCATGTAGTGGCGTCAACTTACTCTGCTGCTACTTTAAACAATTCATTTTTGTATACCAAACGCCATAGAAATCACATATAAAGCTAGATTCCAACAGATTACCGAAGTGCAGTTTATTACTAAAACATCGCTAAGCTGCTCGAATAGCTCCCGTGATGGAGCTGTAGTAGCGTGTTTGCCTCCTAAATTTAAGGGTATGTGAAAAGGTTCAATTTTATGGCAGGGTTTTACGTTTGACACAATTTTACATTCTGATTTCATTAGCGAAAGGTAGCTATGCCAGAACAGAAGCGTGGACCATAACGCTCTTTAGCACGATTTTTAGAATACTTTCAAAAGGAGAACGAAGGAGCACCGTTGTCGAAATACACCAGCACACGCAGCAAAGGAGAGCTTTAAAACGCTTAATGGTAGTAGCCTAGGGAAATCCTGAGACGCTAGCTTCTTTGTCCCTCCATTATCATAACGAACGGTAAAAACGTTCGTCTTCTCTTACCTGTTTCTAGTGCTCAACTCGAATGTTTCCTTCATCAGTGTTTAATTGGACAGTCACAAGAAGATTAGCTGCAATGCAGGTGGTACAGTTAAGCCGAAAACCGTTACAGTCACCATTAGGTGCAAACCGCATTTCGTCACTCTATGCATCAGTGTGCAAACACGTTTACCGTACACAATTATTGGATTTATTGTAAAGTAAAAATCCGCTTTATTAGCGGCGCGTCAAGATGCACGTAGTTTGCTAAACAAGTACTGAATCATTCATGTATACGTGATTAGTTCAACATCTTAACACATATTTGGTGCTACATAATGTGACTGGATTTCGGCAGCCTGCAGGGACATACCCGATATGATCGAGGACTTTCCAGAACTTTCTAGGCAACGTAAGAACAAGTGGACGCGTCTAGTAGAAAAGAGTTATAGTGTTTGTACAACCTATTCTACAAGCATGATTTTCATTCGTATAATCATGATGTTCATTGCATTGCACATAAGCTTCACAACATCGAGTGTCACTCCTCGCGTCACCTTTTATTCTCGTGAATTGCACCCTCAGCTTTGTTTCCTTTACTCCTGGATCCCAAGCGTACGCTCACGACCAGTCTACATTTCATTTCTGCAACCCCAACCAGTGTTGCTGACTGGCGTTGTGTTGTGTGTGTGGAAAAAGAAAACAAATTGAGGCAAACGTTAGCATGACTCGTCGTCGTAACTGCCGTAGCTGTTGTGGATGCAGCTGTTACTTGTTGTTGTTTCTGTTACTGTTGTTAACGATGCCGACGTCTGCTGCGGGGGACGAGGTGAAGGATTGCTGGCCGCCGTGCTGACATAGCACGAGATTGTCACGGCACTGTATTTTTGACAAGAGGTTGCGGATAGATAGATACCGCCTTGTTATCCCCTCCCGTTTTGGTCCTACCTTTATTTCTCTCTCTTTCTCGAAACAGCTGCATTAGTCGCACAAAAGTACAGCGTGTCCAGCTTCTTCAACGTACTCAGTTAACCATATGCGTCCGACGCTGTACGCCTATAGTGACATGGCTGTGACAGTTACCGTCTCTCTGTTCCACTGACTGCAACTTCAACCACAGGAGGCGGACTGAGGCCTCCTGACCCACACGCGCGTAGCTGAATCCCACTAGCAATGACCCAGCAGCAGCTGCGACCACAGCCGTCAACGGGCGTGGACAGCATTCAAGTCGACGAGCCCAAGGAATTCCTTTGCCAACGTTCTGAGCTCCCGGGAGCATGGCGGAAGGGGCAACCACTGAGGAATGAAACGAAGGGTTGACGAGGGGTTATGATATGACAGAGACACGATGTTTTGTTAGCCATCAGTACGTTGTTCACAATGTATGTAGCATTCATGCGTTCATCTAAGTCCAGTGAATTCGTTCACGCTAACCGACGGCGCGCCGCTTTCTAATAATTACCTCCAAGCTAACCGGACCGCCAATTGATAGGCACCAATTAGTAATGGCTAGACGGCATTATGACGTTTCATAGTCGGCATAATGCTTTCATAAGCATATTAATCGGTGTAAATTTACCCAATACGGTAGAATTTAATGTAAAAATTGTTTAAAATTGATTGTAACGATGGATATTCTATCCCGTTCTAGAAGATCTGGTGTCGTATCGGTATCGTCTTGGTCTGCGCTAGAGGAGCGAAGCGAATGCCGCACATTGGCTTAGCGCAATCTGTACATTTATATTGAAATATAGTTGCTGTCTTCACATGTCCAACGTACGATGTTAAGCCTTACCTCAATACCGTTTCGCCCGCTTGTTGCCCGCTGCAGAGCTTCTTGGCTATAGACTTATAGCGGCGTTATGACCAGAGGCTTATCCGGCAAGAAAAATGGATTAACTTATACCAAGATTTATTGATAATCGGATCATGTAGCTTGTCACTGGCCACGGATCTGGTCTGCATACTAACGAAGAGATGTTATAGAATCATAAGAGGCGACATACTTGACCTTACGATTGGCGAGCTCTCGAAGCAATATTATTAAGAAAATTCGTCAATTTTTTGCATGAAGACTGTATTGTATTAGGTCTATGTAGACCTGTACTTTGGCCTCGCAACGTTCCTGCGTACTCTACGCACATACACCATTAGAAATGATTAAGTGTAAGTGTTAGATTTGTCAACGGTGGCTAGGATTTGAAAATATCTGTTTTGTTGCATATGTCTCTATAGTAATTACTAATAATTCTGGTTTTAGGTATAACCTCTTTAAAAGGCCACGCTCTAAATCAATTCTAATTAGGTTAGAAGATACGCTTTAACATAGCATTAAAACCAGCTGACCACTCTCTCTCCTGACTCTCAACCTTAATGTCTATCTTTAATATACCTTCGGATTAATTCCATGTAACCGTTTCAATGTTTTACAGACCTTTCATTAGCTGTACATACATTCTCGTCGATTCAAGTTGATAATTATGGTAATATACGAGCAATCTGGGGCAATGATCCCTTTATGTTGTCATTTCTCACGCTTCTTTGACAGATTTTAACTATCGAATTCGTCCAGTTATCTAATCGCGTTCTCTGATCTGTCACTTTGCAGAAATCTGTGTTCACTGAAAGAAGGGAGTCCATTTTTCCTGCGCGCCCTGTCTAGTCCGTCCTCTTCTGGCCGTTTATCCTGCTTCATATTCCTTTCAGCGGCCGCAAACAGGTCTCCTCTTCGCCTCTAACCTCGACCTCCGTTTACGCCACTTTCTGTGATACAGTTGAGTGGCGTTGCTGTGTATCGGCTGATAGGATGAAAGTCTGGTTGGCGGCATCTTCTTGATGTCTACTGCAGCCACCCATCACAAAGACATATTGGTGGACCTTTTCTTATGCCTATTGCTTCGTTCGTCACCGGCCGAGTTTCTATCGGTCGACCCCTGCCGGCGAACGTCACCTTCTGTGTATTTTTCTCATTTGTATGGAATTCGTCGATGCCGTAGCACTTCGTTCTTCTTTTTCGCCTGCTATTCCTGCTTGTATAATTGTATGTTTGTGTGCTTCGACGTCGTTTGTATATGTCTATCTATGTATGTATGTATGTGATCATCTGTACCAGAAACAAACGAGGAGCCCTTTCTCGTCCGCTACTTTCTCCCCTTGCCATTTTCGGTGACGGGGCAGAAAAGCCAAGACGATGAAAACGAGACGAAGGAAAGGCCCACAGAATGGCACAGGATACGACAGAAGTATGTACTGCGACCGTTGCGTCCTCAAAGTATCTCAACTAGTACCCTTACTGTTGCTAGCTGCTTGGCTCTATTCGCAGGCCTGAGAAAACCTCACACACAGTAGGATCATACAAACCATACCACGTTTCCATGTGTACCCCCTCTACGATCTTGCGGCCGCTGACTGTTTAGCCAGGTAGTTCACCAGGTTGTTCTCTGGGTCCTCTGTTCCTTCTTTCTGGGAGCGCTCTTGCCGTGATCTTCGCAAGCCCCTAGGGCCACTGTTTTCGATTAGTCGCCGCCTGGTTACTCCTGCCAACACGGCGAATCGGGACATGACCCACGAACGCATGGGCCAACGTTTCCCCAACTTGTCGTAAGTTACTCCAAGAGCAAGGCGCAAAGGCATGAGCTATCTGTCCTGTAGGAATATAGTCGCAGTAGAAGCGGCATCGCGCAAAAGCATACCGCCGACTGTGCGGTTCTAACCTCCTATGCTGTATGTTCGCTGCGTTTCTTGGTCAGCCGGCAACGAACCAGCGAAGGCTCCAAACGCTGACCAATGCGCGTGTGATGCCAGCTTTCACCGCTACTGCAAGTGAGTTCTGCGTTGCTTCCTCTATTCTGCTTCTTTCTCCACATAACACCGAAAGCAGGGAGTGGCGGCGGGGTGTTCCTCTGACGTCGTTCTCCTATTTCTCTCCAGAGCTTCCTTCATCTCTTTATCCTCTCTTTGCCCCTATGTTCCGACAGGCCCCAAACCGCCGTTACAGGGTGGCTTCAGGTCCGCACCCAGCATCCCGTCTGGCTGCAGTGTGCGCTTCTGCTGTTCTTACTGCTGCTGCCGTTGGTCGTCAGTCATCGCGGAGCTGCGGCATCCCACGGGGAGCTCTTGGGGGGTAGTCCCTTGGAGCCGAACTGCCGGAGCTTGGCAGGCCGCCTATGCCGTCTCCACTATCGCCACCATAGCCAGCATTGCTGGCAGCGACCGTCGGTGGACGGATCGTTGGCTGAGAGAGGGAGATCAGAGGAGTTCAGTTCGCCTTCGTCAGAGCAAAGGCCCTTTGCTGTTTCCCTTAGAACTTACCCCATCCTTCAGTTGGCCTGACCGACCTACCGAGCAACGTCGAGCGAGCAGTGATCGTACCCACACTCCACACCCCGTATACTTTCCTAATAAACAGACCTATGCTGCAGCGGATGGCTGACTGCTTGCTTGTCCCTAGTTTTTCGCTGCAGGAAGCTCCCTCAGCTGCCTAGCCTCATCGGCTCGTCTCCCCATACAGCTTCGTCTGCCCTTTCTTGCTGCTGGCAATGCGGAATGGGACATATAGGCAAGCTCCGCTAAAGCAGGAGTGTGCTGTATGTAAGTCTATGCGTATGTGTAAGTGTCTGATTGGGTATGTCCGTATGTGTGTCGAGTGGTGGAAGAGAAAAAGGAGAATGAATGTTGCTGGAGGACGGACCCCCAGGGGCTTGACTAGAGCAGCAGTAGCAGGTCCTGTCTTTGCCACCATCGTTGCTGGCAGCAAAAGAAGAGAACCCGAGTTGGGTTTGCCACTAGTGGGAGTTTGCAGCAGAACCACTAGTCGGCAAAAGCACGGAATAGCAGCGGCATAAGCGGCAGCAGTAGCAGCAACGACCCGTCGCAGTCGTTGTGCGTTGCTGAGCGCCACTGGCAACGGAGGCGTAATAGCAGGACGGCCGGAGGATCCTAGAGAGCCGGCAAGTTGCGGAGAGCTGATGGGCGCGTTTTGGGGCGCTATGTCGAAAAAAAGCCGCTAGGGACTCGGTTGGCGCCCCAGGCTGGGGATTGGGGCTCACTGAAGAGTGGTATGGAGGCACTGCAGGCTGGGGCGAAATTGGATCGATAGAGTTTCGAGAAGAGAAGCGGTCGGACCGATGGAGGGATGGGGAAAACGAGCGAGCAAGCACGACGGTCGTTCCCCCGTTGCTTCGGCTTGGGCTCACCTCATTCGGCACTTCCCAAACTCCAGCATTTCGCCCCGTCCCATTGGCCCTCACTAACAGCAGCTGCCACTACTAGTGCTGGTGGTAACGGCAACGAGCCCTGTGAGTTTCGTGAGCACTAGACGTTGCTTGGGTAGTCCGGACGTCTAAGCTACAATTCGAAGCGAACTGAGATCCGCTGCCGAGAGCTCTTTTCTTCTGCTGCACGAAGCGCCGCCAGCACTGGCACGCTTTATGGCCAACGGCCCCTGCCGTGTATAGTCTCCTACTGATGTCGTTGCACTGCTGCTACTGACGCTACTGCTGGATATGTTAAAGATAGAAAGGGAAACTCTCACAAGACGAGATATTGCTTCGAAGCTCGAAGCAGAAAGAAGCGAAAGAGGTGAACGTCATTGCCCCGAATGTTGGTGCTGTCGCACCACCATTGGCAGCGGTAGCAGTTATTCGTTCTTCCACACGCAGCCAAACCCACTTAGTCGACGGATGGAGGCGCTGCTCGAGAGAACGGAGGCGCCAGAGAAAGAGGCACGGTAGGACGAACTAGCGCATCAGAGAGATTTAGAGGAAGCCAAAGACGGATAGAGAGAAGGAATATAAGGGACGAGGAGGGAAAAAGAAAGGGAACGAGAAGCAGTCGAAGAAAAGTGCTTCATGGACGGAGCAGTATGACGGTGAATGCACAGATAGCCAAAGCGTGCTAGCTGTCCTGATCAAATGATGGGTGACCTGCACCTTCCCCACTCATACATTGCACATAGACCATGGACGTGTGGGTATACATGGAAAGATCAGCGAATGCCGAGTAGTGTGAATCCAATTCAGATCGAGCAGACGATGGCAAATCAAATATGAAATATGAATATAAAATATGCTTGCAAAAAACTTAATCATTAGACATGTGTTGGCGCTCGCCATTAAGAAAGTCGAGGTTGCCTATGGCGCTATTGTCCGAATGATTTGTATTTGAAATTCAGTCGCGCGCGCCTTTTCCTGCTTTCGTTTTCTCTTCGTCTCTCGCTTGCTATCTTGCTCTCTCCCTTTTCCTCCTTTGAGAACATTACTGCCGCCGCATAATTTCAAATTATGACGCGTTAGCACAGCTGCGAACTTTAAAGCTTTCTCATCAGCTAGATATCTCCCGACACGGTCATGTTCAGTAAATATGTATCACCCTTCGCGACGCTCTCTGGAATTAGTTTACTGTTATAGTGACCCTTGCCGTCGTTTTTTTTTGGTTTTTCTACTTGCGTTAAAATAACGTTTGTTTCCTTTGACGCCGTGCAAATATTTTCCACACGACCAATACATAGTCCTCCATAGTCTTCTTTGTAGTTCGTTGATCATGGTGGTTCCTTCGTTTATAAGAGGCAGCCGCCGCGGATGCTACTATCACCCGTGCTGCTGTGCCAACATCCCCCAAGCCAAGCGCCAGGCTCTCCTTTCCTACTCGGCTTTGCTCGTTCATTGACAATGGAAACAAATATGGCGGCGGTCTACGCGCCATTGCCGCAACAGCCCTCCACTATCCCATTTTGCCCCAACTTTTCCCGCCAGCTCCTCGCGATAGCCGTCGCTCGCCGAGGACTCACTCCCAGAGCGCCATAGAGATCTAATACAAGAAAAAGCAGCAGCAGCACCGGCGGCGGCAGCTGCAACACCGGCGGCCGCTTCGTGTGCCACTGGGAGCGTCGTCTCGTAGCAACGACGAGGGTTGCGCTGCTTCGGCGAATAGCGCCGGCTGCAGCCTGAGCCAAACCCAAACTTGAGTCTGAGTCCTGGAGAGTCTTAGGCACGCGCATGTCCGCTCGTGTTTTTCTTATGCTCTCTCCCACTACTCAGATAGACGCACACACAACCGCTACAAGCGGGACTCACACAGACCAGCTGGCCGCCAGTGAACCAGTGTGTGTGCGTGCGTGCGGGGTTGTTGTAAGGGGTTCCACGGGGAGCTGGCTGACATAGGAGAATGTAGAGCGTTGAAGCTCTCCTACCCATTCTTTGCCGCCACTTGCTTGCTGTTACCCCCGTCTGCCCTGTGAGCTATGGGATGACTAGCGACGCTCAAAAGGGGACCACAACGGCGGCGAAGGCGGCTCAACCCTCCCTCTCGCCTTTGCCATGTTCTCTTTTTTTGTGTCTGGATATGTGTGACCGACTGCCAATGTCTCCTCGAACTGCCGCCATCCAGCAGGTGGTAGTGCGACCAGGAGCAGCTCCTTTCCTTAGCGACAGCACGATGGAACTACGGTGGTAGACCTGGCGGCAGCAGCAACCACAGATCTAAGGGAAAGTAAGTACGCTGCGCAGGGAAGTAGAACGAAGACGAGGGCAGAGTTAAGGCATCTTTCTGGGAACTAGGGACTAGTTGCGACCAGGGTTTCTTGAATCGAAAGGAAGACCCAGCCTTACCCAGTGCTTTGGAGCTGATGATGAGGCTCCCGTCACTGCTACCGTCGCCGGCCAGCAGTGGAAAGCAACCAAACATTCCATTTCTCTGCTCTGGCTCCGTTCAGCTTTTGCTGCTGCTGCTGCTGTTGGCGCTCTGCAAAAATACTCCTAAGAATATTCCCTTTCTCCACAATTGTACCTTCTCTACTCTCAACTTCCCTACCCTTTCTTTCGCTTGGCTATATTTTCTCTTTCCCTTTCTCTCTCTCCACATCTCTCTTTCCCTTTTTTGTTCTGTGTCCAGCATCTTCTCTTCGCAATCCGCTTTCTTTTCCAACGGTGGAAACACACACGCGCAAAATTCCTCCTTCCTATAAGAGTCTTACTTCTTTTCTTTCTCCTTCTCTGCACCGTCGTCGTGTCCTTCTTCTTTCTGATTTCTGTTAGTTTTTCTCTTCTCTCCGTTTGTGTCTGTTCCCTCTCGCTTTTATATCGACTCGATTTCTCCCCCAATTTTCTTCCAGTTTCCATCTTTGTCGCTCACGTCGCGTGTCTTTTGTTAACCATCTTTAGCTGCCCACTTTTTGTTCCTTCAGTCCTTTTCCTCTTCGTCGTTTTTCGTCCGACGCACACCTCTCACACTTTT